AACCCAGAAGTCATGACACCCCCCCCAGGCAGAAATCAGACTGCTTCACTGACAGTATGGGGTGAGAAACAAAAGCGAGAGCTTGTTACAGCTGATCATTCAAGGCAACCTTAGTGGAGAAAAAAGCTTCAGAGGGAGAAGAACAGCCAGCCAGGAATAACTGGGGGGAAACGGGGGGGGGGTTAAGGTTAGGACAACACCCTCCTTGTCTAAGTGTCGGATAGACCCAGAGGTGTCCCAGGTTGATCCAAGGCTCTGGTGAGCCCTGGGCAAAAATATATATATATAATAGTGGGGGCGGGGGGGCCTTCCTCTCCCCCCCACCTCCCACCTAAATAGGTCACCTAATGTGGACAATGGAATATAACTTGAATTAGGCTTACTCTCGCTAAGGTGATCTTGCCAGCAGTTAAGAAGGGAACAATTCTCAGGTGAACAGATACTAACACCATGGCCGTGAAAAGTGAAAGGGACGTCTAGCGTGTGAGGATGATGACCCCAAGCAAGCCTTCAGGGCTAGGAAAGAAAAAGTGCCTCCAGAAGGAAACCTGCCGTGGCAACAGGAGGCTTCGTAGGAAAGGACTAAAGGTCTTCCCTCCTCTTATGTGGCCCAAATCAACCCGTTGGATCTGTCATTTTTTATTTTTTTTTATTTTTTGCACAAGACCTAACTGGGGATCCGACATGGATCGGGTCATTGACCGAGTCCAGGCCATCTGGATAGCCGTGGCGGTGCTCTCTCTGCCTTCACGGGAACGGGAGGAAGAGGAGGAGGAGGAAGGCCCCTCTTTGAAATGGGGGCAGGGGTTGGTTGACCCACCCTCCGTCCTCAGGAAGCATTTGGTGGCGGGGGGCCCTAAAAAGGAACCTGTCTCCTCAGAGGCCAGCTTTCGTGGAGCGCAGCCCATCTCCTCAGGAGCAAACCGGGGCTCCCTCGTGGGACTTTTTTGGGCCAGCCAGGCCTCCCTCGCAGGGCGGTTGCCAGAATGACATTGGGGGGGGGCGTTCATTTGGAGGTCCGGCTGCTCTGACCGAGCCCCAGCCCCTTGCAAGACGAGTGAGAGGAACCTGCCAGGCAGAAACTCCGGATTGAACCAGGGGCCCCAAGTGCGAAATCCCCTCCGCTTTCCACCTGGTAGGGGGCGGGGAACTCCCGGCACCCACTTTCTCTTTCCCTTCTGCCTTGTTTCCCTTTCCCTGAAATGCGGAGGGGCCGCACTTTGTTCCTGGAAATGCGCAGCCCCAGTGTTACTGCTTACACCGGAGGAGGGGGACCCTGTTCTGTGCTCCTGCACAAAACGCATGGGGTGTGGGTCCAGTGCATGCGGGATCACGGCTCCCTGCACATGCCTAGAGGCGTCTCCCCTGTTGGTTGTTGGCACGATGAAGGCCAGAACCTATTTCATGGGAGCCAAGAGGGCCGAGTGCGAGGGCAGGAGAGAGAGCCCTGCCTCTGAGCACGCACAGAGCGCTGCCCCCGGTCTCGGGTCCCCTCTCCCCTACTCCCAATACAATAGCTGCCCTTCGCGTGTCACGGTGGACACCGGGGAGCCGGAGGTGACGCGCTCCCCCCCGTGGGAACTCCCTGGCGTGGCGGGGGGAGATGGCTTGGGACCCCGGCCCACCTCTCAGGGCTGTTGGCAGGATAAACGATGGGTGGAAGGAAAGGAGTGGAGACGAGCTAAGCGGTGGATTGAACCCCACGGGAGGGCAAAACGGGTGTGTGTGTGTTTTCCCGGGGCCCAGAGCAGATTGCACAGGAGAGAAGCGATCGCGATCTGTGGCCTCATCCATTGCGCGCGGCCCTCCCACTGGGTCCCGCTTGGTCCCGATCATCGCCTCAGGTGCCCAGCCCTCTGGCCTCGGAGAGAAGCGAAAGCCAAGCCCCACCACCGGCGGGGAGGCCACAGGCTGAAGCGCTTCCTGCTCCCGCGTCCTTCCCCAGGGTCAAGACCAGGTGCCCCGGAGCATGGGCAGAGGTCTCCTCTCCCCATGAAGCGCGCCGTCCGGTCGCGGGACCCCAAGAAGGAAGGTCCCCAAAGGCAGGCCACCACCGCCTTGGCCCCGAGGAACGCCAGAGGAGCCTCGGTGGGTGGATGGATGAGCCCCTTCCTGGACGTCGCTCTCGCTCCGAAACCAGCCAAGGAGCACAACACAAGCCCCAAACACGAGACCAAACCGACCTTCAGACCTCTTGCTGCCCCAACGCTGCTCCCTCTGAGAACTTCGGGTTGGGGGGGAAGAGAAGCGTTTCCAGCTGCCTCTTCAAACGGGTGGGTGGGAGGAGGG